TATTTAGAATAATTAATAAAAAATATGATGTAATTCATGAATTACTTTGGTACTCAGAAAAATTAAAATTCCATGAGAAGCATACATGATGTTCTCATTGTCAACTTTATTCATACTTCATGTTTGTTTAATTTCAATTACTAATGTGAATTAGTAATATAGTTAATAAATAATATAGTAGAATGACTATATTTATCCCTATGAAGCATAAGGAGAAGTATTGCGAGAAAATAATCCAGATAACTAAGTCTCGCAAAATGGTTTGTGTGTATTATAACAGCCTAGTGCAAAAATGAAAAATTGAAAATGAAATGCTTAACATTATTAAAATGTATTCATTCATAAGTTAATAGTTGACTCACTGACTCTAAACAGCTATATCTTATTTAAATTAATAAATAGATAGATAGAAAAAAAAACATTATTCTGGGACAAATTCTCTTTAGGACACTAGTGGGTACTGGATTTAATTTTTTTTGTGGGGGGGAGGAGGGAGGTTCAGCCCGAAAGATTTTTTTTTCATATTTAAAATTATTAATTTGAAAAAAAAAGGAATTAACTACCTACATGAAATGGTGTTTAAGTGATTCTCGAAGTCCTAATAAATGTAATTATACGAACAATAATACTTTAAGAGATAGTTTTTAAAATTTTTTTATATAAAACTTGGTTATATTTTACCGTTTTTGGGGGGGGGGGGACTTCAGTCCGAAAGCCCCCCTCCGTAGATCCGCCTGTGCTGTAGAATAACAATATTGTACAAAAATAAAAGACTAATACCGGCCTAAAAGTTTGAAACAATAAATAAAATTTTAAAAAATAAACTAACAAGTAAAGAAAACCTTAAGTGAACAAGCTATATACAAAACACTTAAAACTATGAACAAATCATTTAAAACTATATTTAATGGTAGAACAGCATAAATATACTCTTTAAGATATGAAGAACGAAAAATAGAATAACTTTTTTAAATAAAAAAAATTTAATTGTATATAAATAAAAAAGTTAGTGGTAATTGATTTTTTTTTTTTTTAAATAGATGTATTGAGTGGCGTCGGAAGTAGGAAATACATGTACTATCCCTAACAAAGAACAGTATTATCGTATGATTATATGATTGCTGTGCAATACATATAATATGATAATATGGTATTTTTCCTATCCTTATTTTATGCATACAACTATAGAGGATTTCTCACTATTTAATCGCCAAACTATGGGAGGCGATTCTAGAAAAAAATTCCAACAAAAAATACATTTGATGTATAGGCTAATTCCGAACGGAAAAGGACTTAAGTACAAGTTGGCTGTAGGGCATTGTCCCTTTCCTTTAAATAACTGCACAAAAATTAGTTCAAAGGAGTCAGATCTGGCGATCTCGCAGGCTATGAGACAGGACCTTCTATTCATATCCAGCTGTTAAGAAAAGCATGGTCCATTGCATTTATTGCTGCTATCGAGAAATGTACGGGGTCCCATCATATTGGATATGCCTCACATCTAACGGTACGTCATCCAACAGTGTGGGAAGAACATCCCGAGTAATGTTGGCATGGTCGCCAATGAAATGGGTTCCAATAATGGCACATCACACATTTAGCGACCACCGGTGCTGCGTGTCTGGTTGCCTCACCCAGCTAGGATTTTGCTGCGGCTAATTATGGGAATAGTGACGATTTAACATTCATTCACTGCTAAACGTTGCCTGATCATTAAACAATATTCCGTGAAAGAAGTATTCCCATTCTACTCTCATGGTCTCATGACAATAAACCCTGGTGCAGTGGCTTCTTAAGTAGATCTGAATCGAACTTATTGCAACTTCACTAACCCTACCTAAATTCCCCAAAAAGATGTGATAATTGAACTAAAGAACTAATTCTACCATCAGCTGCAGAAACACCAACCTTTGACCGAGCGCTTAAGTCTTAAAACTTGTTTTTTTTATTAATAAATTGGACATCTGAAATATGTTAATAATAGCTACAACTTTGGTTAATCGCAATGTTTCTATATATTTTGCGGTTTCCAAAATATTTCAATTGTAACCCGCACATATGGGATACTCTGTATAAATTAATAAATTCAATTGAATTTTTAGCCATTTCTAATACAATAATTTCAAATTTCAAGTGCTGATCACGACGCATGTTATAAATACTACTTGTTATTATTATCTACTTTCAATTATTATTATTATATACTTTTTAACTCCAGTTATATAAGTACTTAAAGTTATTTAAGTAATAATTTTATTTTCGCAGGTAAACCTAACTAAGCGCTGACCAACCGCCATCCAAGATGCGGCTGTCAACAGTGTTTGAGCTACTTTTAATTTTCTTGTTTCTTGCGTTCGCCGCTTCAAGAACAATACGTAAGTTGAATATACGGTACAGTTTGGTGAATCTGTATGTTATTTTTATGCATATTAACCTCAGAATAACATAAATAGAATCATATTTTCAATGTTGTCAAATTTCATAGACTTCAGAGGTGCCCAGAAGGGGGTTTCATGCAAGCCATCGAAATATTTGAGGGGGGGGGCGAATTTCTATGGGAATATGAATTTTTGGACTGGAGGAAATGTAATTAATTATATATGATCAACGAATTTTCTAATTTTACCTTAGATCACTCTCTTTTTAAGTAAAATTGAGCAATTAAATATCTTGGGAGGGGGGGGGGGGAGTAGTTTCTTCCGCCATCTACCTTGAGGTGAATGGACACCCCTTTACTTTTGATCGAAAAGTATTAGTTGAATGTCTATTTCGGAAAGATCAGACCATGTTTTTCTTTTTAAAATCGGTGGATTGGACAAATACAGTGGTGAACATCTTCTCCACAAAAATTCACTCTATGACTCTGTCTACGAGAAGGGCCTGGTTTGAAAGAGTTCGAGAGAGGACCTGGTAAAATTTTGTGCTCAGCGTCAACAACCCACGCGACTACCTAGTTAACAAATCAATACCAAAACTTCTCAATTTCTTTATCCTATTATTGAACGACGACTGAGTATTAAATATAAAAGGTCATTTTTAGTGGACTAGTACATTATTTATTATTAATTAATTGAGTGAAAAGTGAATTTGAATAGTGAGGTGGTATAGAAATGAAATATCGTTTAATGAGGCCCAGTTAAGGTGCGTTTGTTTCCAGTTTTTGGTGAATTTAATTCAATTTTAGTTCATTTAAAGAAACAATATTCTCCTTATCTGATCATTTGAACTTACGTTAGTAATTCTTTTATATTGAGAATAGCAAGATCTTTGAATTTTGACAGAGTAATGGAACATTTCTCAGAAAAATTTCTAGCCTCTTTTTTTGTGGAGTGTTGTGAAATTAAAGAATGTTCATGAATTTTTAATAACACCTTTTTAGGTTTGTTATGAATACTATATTTAGACAATTACTTCTTATATGTTAATTATTATCAGTGAGGAATTTTGTCTAAATGATTGTGCTATATTAGATGTGAAACAATAAACTATTATTAGCATGGTGTAATAGACAATTACTGTTTAGTAAAACTTTAATCCTTACGTTAACAATATTACCATATTAATATTATTGAGAATAATAAAATATTGAATGGAGGGGGTCTCAGCTGTCGGCTGCACTGTACTATTTATCCATAATTCCTAATTTTGGTGTCCTGAATATGTTGTAATAAAATAATTGTTCAAAATTAAGCATACCCCATCCGGTAAAAATCCTAGTTCCGACCCTGAATATAGTCAATAGGAGTCTTAGAAAACTTCAACACAATTTGAAGAAATAGAATAATCTGGAATATAAAAGGACAAAGGTTTTTTTTTTCACAATGTAATTGTTAGATGGACCTTTCATTACAGCACTTACAGCCTCGGACTGAAATTAGAAATGTATAATAAATTATATAGGAAATGTAATTTATTAATGACATAGCATAAATGGAAACATCATATAGCTTAATGAGATCTCGTTAATCTGCCGCATTCATATTTCATGACTCCATTTCAAAGAATCTAGTACTAGTCTGCCGCGAAAAGTAGTTTGTTTACAATACCCTACGGGTATTAGTACTATTATTGAAGGGGATACTAGCCCAAAAAGTGAATCTTTTAACCCTTTTTGCCAACCCTTAAGAGCTATCTAGAGTTAGCCGATGGTACTAATCAGAATGGGAGTGCCAAGATTCATTTCTGGATGCCGTCAATTAATAAATATTAACTGACTTTACGATATTCCTTTTTTTTTTATCTGGCGCTAAGACCCTTGAAGTCGAGTCTTGGCCAGATCCAGCGCGACCACCAATTGCCTCTGTCAAGCGCAGCTTCTATCCAACTGCGAATATCCAATATAGTCCGGGCGTCTAAAGCTACGCAGTCCTCCCACCGAACTTTCTTCGTCTTGCTCCTTCCTATTCACATGTCCGGCCCATCTAAGTCGCGTAAGATTTATAAACTGTACTACACCCAATTCCATATAAAACAGCTTCAGTTCATTGCTGGCACGGCGTTTCCACTCTCCATTAACTATAACTGGACCGTATATCCTCCTCAGGACTCTTTTTTCGAATCTCAGAAGAGAGAATTCGTGTGCTTGGGTAAGGATCCAGTTTTCTGAAGCGTATGTGAGAACTGGCCGGACGAGAATCTTGTACAGCCTGTCTTTCGAGGATTTGGAGAGACCCTAGAAACACGAAGTCCTCTTAAGATACCCTAAGAAGAAGACTTAATTGAAAAAAAGCTTGATGAAACTGTTAGTGATCTTCCTCCTTCCGTCTCCCCAAAAGAGTTCGGAATGAAATCCATTTCTTCACGGAATGACTCATGTACAACAAATGAGAATAAATTCTTCTGATTACTAATTTGTATAAATAAATAATTCAAAGATTTATACTTTAATGCTTCGGTAATGTTTTAATTTTAGATCACAAAAAAGGAGCAAAAGGAGTTGCCAAACAGACTCAAAATCGTTACTGCCAATGTACCAACTTAATGTGCAATTGTTGCAGAGACTTTTCCCTTCCAGTTGTTTCCATCAAAGGACCAGGTAATACTTTTTAAATGCTATTTAATACTTAATTTAATATATAGTGTAAATTATCAAATAATATAATAGCCTTGATCTTCCTCTCTTCTTATGTGAATAATTTTTAAAAACATAATTACTAGGCATTTTTGGTTTGATTAAATTAGTTGAATTATTTTTTCGTCTGCATTTACAATACTCTGCCGTTTTGGAGGTTTAAAATTTAAAATACTAATAAAACAGAAAACAATTTCAGGTTGTGCAACGGTGGCTTATCTAAATGAAGATGCTATGAGGCTTACAATGACATTTGGAGACAAAGTTCTGAGAAACATTACATTAGCAGGTAAAATAATAATAACTAATATGTAACATAATTTATAATATATATTGAAATATGTTGGTTTTAAACCAAAATTTTAATCCAATCTGAATTCAATATATCTGTCTAAATCATAAGTGATAAAAGATTATCATGGAATATAATTTATTTACAATATCAATTAATTCACTTTAGCAATGATAGAAACCGATTTAATATTTTTTAGAACAAAAACAAAGAAAAGAAACATTGAATGAAATAGAAAATCTGACTAGGTGCGTGAATTACAAAACTACCAATTATCACCCTCATTCAGTAGAATAGAAATTCATGCAAAATACATTAATAAACTTTTAAAATATTACTTCTACTAATATTAGATGTATACAGGGTGTCTGGTAAATAAAGGGAGGGGCCTCCTAGGCGTCTGAAAAGAAGATGGCCTCGTGATCTACTTATGTAAATATTTTATTAGAGTGCTACCAATGGGTAGTTTCTCAACAAGCGTTTTCATGTGATTGTATTATTACTGTGTGCACATTTACTAGTTGTATTATTTTATAATAAAGTTGTAAATATCAATGAATAAAAAAAAAATAAAATAAAATAAAAGGATTTATTTAAAGGGAAAATGGTAACCTTCGAGAACTGCTAAGTGTAATAAAATAAGGTTCAGAGCGATAAAAATTTAAGTGTTGTGTTTTTTAAAAATTAAATCACGGCTTTTCTTACATTGAAAGGGATAAATAAAAAAATCTCCCCTCCCCCTGTAGTCCTTATGTTGTACTTGAAAACTGAAGGGTTTAAATTTAAAAAGATTCTAGTGAAGTTTCTCTTGATCGTTAAAACCATTTTGGCGGAAAGCCTACAGGAAAATACACTTTTCGAAAATGGTGAAAATGAGCAAAGAAATTGAATAATCTGTTCAAGTTATGAACGAAACACAGACCTATAACCGAAAATGTATTTATTTACTCACAGGACTTTAAAATGTAAAGATCTATTAACAATATTAACCATGTTACAATACTTAGTATTAGTAGAAAAGTAAATTCCGGTCGTGCAGAAGTAGGAACAGATTATTGTGAACAATTAAAATTATTCCAACCATATACAATAATAATGAATAAATTATGAAAATTAATGATCATAAAATATTTAGGAAAAAGGCCAAATCCTGTCTGCATGCCTCTTCCTGGAGGTGTTTCCAAATTCTGTGGAAGAGTTTATGGAATAACGAGGGATGGTGATCATTTCAAAGCATGCCTAGCACTCGAACTTCGCTCTCTTGAAGATTTAGAAGCAGCGTTGAGGGTCTCCTGCTTCAGGTTTGGTCCAGAGGGTGTCAAGGTACGTAGATATTACTCTCATATTTAATTTTAATAAAATTAGTGACTGTTGAAATAAAAAAAATAAAAATAGATCTGAGATTATAATTAACACAGCATTAAAGATGTGTATAAACACTTACTTCTATTGTTTGGAGGAATATCAGCGACACCATATTAACCAACAGAATTATGACAAGTCACATGCTCTCATTCAATATCTCTTAATGCAAGGAAATACATGTATACGACCCATTACTGAAGAACTAATATCTAATCTAAAATTTCATTTTATCGGGAAACACGGATATATTTTTCATACATGACCAAAAAGATTAGAAACATTTCACCGTAATTCATTTACGCGTTAACTATAAAGCATATTTGAATAAATATATAGCAAACAGTCGAAAAATAGACCCATGTCCTCCCAATCAAACAGATAATTAAATTATAACTAAAAAATATATATACTGTGTTTACATATCTTTTTCAACCATTTTTTTAATTTTCATTTTAACCGGAAGTTATTACTTTTTTCATTGTACTAAATGAATCATCCAGTTTTCTTAATTCTGTAAATAGTTCATCTGGGGTAATTGCTGCTTCCCTGTCTACAATCATGCTGATTCTTGAAGCCACTGTACTGTTGTTCTCAACTTTCAATCATAATCTCTTATATTAAGATATAATCAACCTTGGAACCATCTAAATGTTTATAGTTATAAGTTTTGAAGATACATCATTATCCATTAAAAAAAAAAAAAAACCTTACCACTACAACCCATGAAGAGTCTTGGGTTTAGTACTATTTAGGGAAACCACTATTTCTAGGTCAACAGTTGTGCAAGGAGGTGATTTGATCGAGATCATGCTCAACCGCCAGGTTTGCCTCTTTATCAAATGATTAATTATTTAATTATAAGTACCCACTTTATAGAGGCTAGGTGTGCCACAGGAGGGTCTCCCAACCCAGGGTCGCCCCACGGCCAATGAAAAAGATAAATAAATTTTCTACCCTGAGCCGGGGTTCGAACCTGGGATCTTTAGCATTGGAAGCTCAGTACCCTACCACTGAGCTACCCCACTCCCTCATTCATAAAAAAAAACAAACAGAAAATATACATATGTGTGTACAATTACGTTTTTAGCTCTAATACAGTACAATGAATAATACAATAAATATATGTATTAATACAATACATATAATAATACAATGGAACAGAGCAATACAGTGAAACTAAATACAATGATATAAAATTTCCCCGTTTTAAAACTTCCTTAGGGTTATTTTTCAGCAATTCCTCCTCAGCCTAATAATAAGTTTTTTAATTTAAGGCTACGACAGAAATAGTGATACACTTTATTGAAATTTATTCTGTTTCCTACTCTTAAGGTGGATTACAATTTATGGATAGCTCTGTGGTACCTATAACTTCCCTTTTAATGCCATTGAAGGAAATCTTAAGTCTCCTCCGGTAAAATATACCATAGCATACCTGCCGATAGACCTGCCAACTCGTATTCACCTTCATCCATTTTAGTTAAATAGACAAACAATTTAGATTCCATATTCTAAACTACTGCGTGTAAGTTAGAAAAGCTGACTTTAATATTCTGAAAGAATAATAAAATTACACGCAAAGAGCTTATTACAAATTAACATATGCAACTGAACATATGATGAATAATAAAGACAATGAAAATAATTTTTACACAAACACACGCACACGCTCTCGCTCGCATATATATATATAGGGGAAGAAAGTAAGAATATATTTTATAAATAACTTATCTTATTTTAATTTATTTGATAAAAGAAACAAATATTATTTGTATGGTGAAAAATTAATTCTAAGTAATCATTTTTTTTTTCTGCTATATTTCTTGTAATTGGGTCGTTCTAATGAATATCATTGAATTTATCATAGTTGATTACTATCTGAAAGTACTTCTACATGTTTAGTTATATAAATCAATTCTAAAATTAGTTTCTTCCATTCCACAGCTGGAACCCGGAAGACCTGTTCCAGTAGTGCCAACTGAAGAAGATGAAGACGATGATGATGACGACTATGGCTTTAGTGATGGTGATGATGATGACGATGACGACGATGATGACGACGACTTTGGTTTGAGCGATGATGATGATGATGACGACGACGAAGATGAAACCGAAAATGATGTCGATTCAGGGGATGCTGACTACACAGCTTTCAGCGCATTAAGTGATGAATTTCTCGGAGGCTTCTTCGGTTCTTCAAATAATAAAAAAACAATTAAACCCTCATCAAAACCGTCAACGATTTCCCCCATTACTCAATCCATTTCAGCAAATAAACCGACAAAAACTACTGTATCGAAACTAATAATTACAACAGCTAAACCTAAGATTAAGAAGAACAATACCACCAAAGTTCCCAAACGTGAAACAACCACAGCTAACATCGAAGTCACTCAGACAAAAACAATGCTAGAAGAAATAACCTCGACGCAGAACTATGCTGAAACTTCTGCTAAAAACCATACTCACCATCTTGAACAAGATATTCAAACAAATGAAAGTAGCACTCAAAAGACAGGATATACATCCATACCAACAGATGATCCTGAAAAATATTCTGAAGAAGATAGTAGTGAAGAAAATGAATATGGGAGTACCGAATCTAGTTCAGAAGATAGTACAGAAACTTATGAATCCTTAGATTCTGAAAACAAAGACAATAACAGTATAGCTAGTAAAATACTAGATGAGGATGAAGAGGGCGAAGAGAGAACATTTCCGTCAAACAGAGGACACAATCTTACACCAGCAGAAACAGAACAATTATTCCCCGGACTCACAGCTCTTATACGTCCGCCATCGCACATTTCTTTTTCCTTTCCACCAGTAAGAAGTGCAAGAACTCACAGAAGAATGCGCTTACCTCCGATCCAAAACTAATCTCAATCGAAAACTCAGTCCCTCACTACCACGCTATTTATGGACTACATAATTTTTGAGAGCAAAAAGAAGATAATGTGTTCATTCATAAATTAAAATGTATTTATTAGATATTTAAATGCTTAAATTATTATAATTCCTCTTATTGCTCAATCGTAGTCAATGTAAGTTCTGTAATTTATTGAATATATTGGAAAAAGTCATTTTTGTTTATTAATAAAGTTTAAACAGCAGTGAAAAGAATGTAAAATATATTGCGGTTGTAAAATAGTGTAACTTTGTGTTTCAAAAAGCATGTTATTGCTCAAGGAGCATTGTAATATTAGTTTTTAAATATCTATAATATGATATAAATTGTATAAACTCATAAAAGTAAGATTCCTTATGTAGTTTATATCATCTAGAGCTCTTGGATGATGGCACTACTGTAGATATATTTATTATGCCAATTTAATATTTGAGAGCTAATGCCTATTTCTATTAAGTAACTACAATTAAAAATGTAAAAATAGCAAATATATACATATAAATTTCAGTCCATTATTTTATTATGTGAAAAACCCGTAACTGAATAAATTAAATGATTCATTTTGCCTAATATAATTATTTTCAATCATAAATGTACTAATTCTAACAAATAGGACAGGAAAAATAGATAAAATTTGTACGTTCATGATACTTTGGTTATAACTTTGTCTCGAGAAAAAGAATCGAGACCTGCAGAATCTCCCTGAGGCGGAAGCAGTGAGGGGAAGTTTGCTAAATAATGTGGTAAAACTAGGTGTGCCCAGAAGGGAGTTTTATGGCGAGGGGGGCATATTCTAAGTGTTTTTTTGAATTTTTAAGGGGGCCACATTTCAACGAAGTTATCAATTTTCGAAATGAAAAGTTTCATAATAAGGAGCAAGGGGGAAACTTGGAACAGACTGCAGTGTAATTGTATATGATCTATGATTTTCTAATTCTACTTTCCTTTGCTCTGATTTTAGAAAAGGAAGAGATGAATTATCTTGGGAGAGGAGGGAGGGAGGGAGATTCTTGTGCCATTGACCTTGGGGAGGATGGGCACTCCTGGGTAAAACTATGATAAGTAACGTATCACTGTAATAGTTTTTTGGTTTTTTTTTCTGAATGGAATGAGACCACTTCCATGACAAATAGTCTGAACCAAATCATTAAATAAAATGAGCCCACTTATTCATCATATACTGATTGCTGTCTAGTTAGTATATATTAAAACTAATCACAAATTGAATATTTTATTAGTTAGGATAACGCAGACCGTATGAAAATAAGCAAAAAACTTCATTGATACAAGATAATTCATTACAAGTAAAAACTCGTTGCAATGTGGTAAACAAAACATTGAGTAATTAAAGGTACTAATACATCATAAATTTGAAGAAAGATAATCAGCTGTTGATGCATCAATGATTATTTCGAAGGTGGCAGTATTACAATCATTGATCCATCCACTTTATACAAAATCGTTTTTCATACAATATAATAATGATACTTAACTGCTGAAAGCATAAAACAATGAAGAAAAAATGTCCGGCTAAACTAAAGGAAAATCATCTGAAGTCCCTTAGTCTCATCATATAAGTTTTTACAGGTTAAGATATAACAAGCGCACGATAAGGGTAAAAATAAAAAAAATAAAAAACTAATTTAACATTTTTTATACAACCTTGGCAATTTTTAATTATGATCAAGATAAACTGTTTAGGGATGTTTATAGCATCACCATCTGATTGTCTTATTTTAATATTTTTAGTGATAACGTTTTTTTTTTTCCTCCCCCAATTTTTGGCTATTTTAGAAAATCAGAATCAAAACAATGCTCACCTATACAGGGAACTGTTCCATTTCATGTTTTAATCTGTAACTTTTTATGTTCACCTATGTGCGACTTAAAATTTGATTCTTTGGCTCAAGCAAATATGGGAATCGGCCAATTGTTTTTGGAACATTGAGAACAGGAAACCAATGAGTTAACGACTAATTTAAGAAGAACAGTTTTACTTGGTTAAGCATGTAAATTAAAATTTTGATTTGGTAACCATTAGTCAATGTTTTGAGGGAAAAATTAAGCACTGAAAGACGTAGCTTCTTTGAATACCCTAATATGAGATAGATTATCAGCAATAAGGCACTGAAAAGATTATCTAGAAAATTTTTAAAAAAAACAAATATTGTCAATAATAAAAATACTTACTATTTTCTAGTCCGGGTTCTTACGGCAAAGAGCTTTAGAAAGAGATTCATAATTTGTATTCAACTTTTTAAGAACATTTAACAAGCCAAGACAGACTGTCATTCATCTACCTTTTTTTTAATACATGACAAAAATTTAAAACCATTGTCTGTCCCATATACAAGAAAGGTGACATATTAACATGTAATAACTACTGGGGTATAGCTCTCCTTCCATGCGTTTACAAAATCCTGACTATTGTCCTATTTAAAGGACTTCTTCTCCACGCGAATCGTGAATTAGATAAATATCAATGTTAATTTCGAAAAGAAAAGTCGACTATTGACCAGATGTTCACGGTGCGAGTTCTAATGGAGAAATCAAGGAAGTTTCAGATCTAAATTAATCATCTGTTCATAGATTTTAAACAAGCATACGACTCTGTGAATATAGAAGAAGCATACAAGACAATGCTAGAATTGAAGATCCCTCCTAAACTGATTTGTTTAGTGAAAATGATGATGGAGCAAGAAAATATTGAAAATTGTCAAGAGGTTTTAGAACGGAGTCGGGGATTAGACAGGTTAGATATGTCTCTTATTCAACTTTTCGCTAGAAAAAGTAATTACAGACTCGGGAATCCAGACAGAAGGAACTCTATTACTATTACACTAATCAATCCAGGTTTTGGGGTTTGCCCATGACTTGGACCTTTCAGAAAGATTTTTCAACGCAATGAAGGAAGCATTTGAGGCACTCGAAAGATCAGCGGAAACTTGGGCCAAAGGATAAACTTCGACAAAACCAAATACATGAGTACCAAACTACCAGAGGAAGGTGCAGAAAAATATGTTACAATAGGTCCGCACCAAATAAAAAGGGTACAGTTATTTATCTACTAAGGATCCCAAGATAATAATAAAAAAATATGCAAGAAGAAATAGAGCGACGCATTCTTTTTAGTAATCCAAAAACATATACAGATCTATAAGATGCTCAATAAGCCTGTACTTACATACGCCTCAGAGCACTAGCGGATTCAGGATTTCATTTTGGGGGGGCCTCAGCCCGAAAGCTGTTTTTTCATAAAAATAACGATAATTACTTTGGAAAAAAAGAAAGAAACTAACTACCTGTATGAAATGGTGTTTAAGTGATTCCTAAAGCCCTTTTAAATGTAATTACACAAACAATAATACTTTAAGAAATACTTTTTTAATATTTTTTTCGATAAAACATGGCTATATTTTACCATTTTGGGGGGCTTCAGCCCGAAAGCCCCCCTCCCCACCCCCGTAGATTCGCCCGTGCCTCAGGGTGTTGGACGATGACTAAAGCCTAAGAAAAACAAGCCCTTCTGAGATTCGAAAGTTAAGTGCTCCGCAGAATAAATGGAGGTAGTTGTGAGCAGAGCTCCTGGAGAAGATGAACAAATGCCGAAGTTAGGAGTTTGGAGCAGGCTTTGACTCATCAAGTGGGTCGTTATTCCAGCCAGATAAGAAGACATTGAACTTCAAACATTTGTCATTCTGACTGCAAAACGTTCATTCATGTGCACCAATATGATGAAATTAATAATTTCCTCTTATTATTTTTTAGAAATAAAATAAATTTTTATTGAGATCTGAAAAAAAAATCATTTATTCATTCCTACAGGAGACTATGCTGAAAACGGTAGAGTATTAAGTGATGGTGTTCTGAATTTACTTGTAATGCCGGATCTGAATATTATAACAATTCCAGACATTGAAGAAGAAATCTATGATCTTGCTCTAAGTGATATTTCATTAATAATAGTAATGTTATATTTTGGTTTTAAAATTTTCATGTAATTAAAAAAAAACATACTGATTTTAGAACAGACAATTATTTACAAGTCATTCGATGACTTTTTTTAATAATAAGAAATTAGTCCGAATGAGAAAAATATTTTACTACTAATACCATCGCTTCCAGATTGTCACCTAGATTCCATATCGACCATACTGTGTGTTGGTTAAGCTCTTGTGTGTTAAGTCTAGTATGTGGCTTCCACACTAGTCTTCTTTCTAAGAGGAAACCAAGATACTAGATTATATCTGTGAAGGGAAGCAGTATGGAGTTAAAATGAACTGACGGATAGGATCTCCATCAAAGGGTGAAGGTAGGTAACATGTTCTTATTTAGCTTCGTTAACTTAGATGCACCAACTATTATACCAATGTTCAGGGAAAGGCTTGTGTTGCCTCAACAAAGAACCACCTTTTGTACAGATGCCTACAATATCTAAACAGGAAAATCATGTCTATGTTATGAGACAGAGCCCAAGGCATTAATGGATTCAAAGTATGTGATGATCCATGTGAGGTATGAATTAAGAGGAAGCATATTATATTGTCATTTAAGAGAATGGAATAGAATATGTTGAAGGAGAAATGGAAAACTTTCTGAGAGAAGAGGGCATCAGAAATGAAAGGACAGTCCACTGCAAAATGGTGTTGTGGAGAGAGCCAATAGAGCAGTCGTTTACAACGCAAGATTTTTAGTTCATGATGCCCACTTGCCTAAGGTATATTAGGGTGAAGCAGTTACAACAGTAGTTTGTTTAAACAACAGGAGTTCTACTGAATATCTATAAGGTAAAACACCATTCACAGTATGGTAATCAAGAAAATCTAACCTAAATTACTTTAAAATATTTTGATGCGAAGACTTGATACAGGTTCCAAAAGAGAAGAAAAAAGTGGGACCTATACTCAGAAAAAAATATTTTTATTGGGTATTGCCAAAATACTAAAGGATATAGGCTTAAGTATTGATTATGTGAACAAAAAAATATATAATTAGTAGAAATGTGATATTCCTGAAAGATAAAATTCATAATTACAGCACTTCAGAGAATATCAAAGACATGTAACCATCCTACATTCTCTCTAAAAGTCTGCGCTGGAGTAGATGAACTTGGGTCCACTCTCTATTCCTTGATAACATGATGAGAAAATTGTCAACAATGAAGAGCATAGGGGCGGCTCATATCAGCTAAAATGAAGACGAAGAGGCAGCACAGGTCAACAATGGTAAAGAACAAGAGATAGTCAAGACAGTGAAAAAGAGAAATTCTATGGATTCGTGAACAATGAGCAAATAGCGGCGGCGAACCAGGAAATGGTAAGACCCACTGAAAAGATCCAAAAGGATTTTATTTACTCAGTATCAGAAAATAGAGACCTACAAAAATGAGAGAGGCAATTAATTCAGGGCCCACATGCCTTAAAGGGGGAGGTAATAATGTTAGAGGAACTAAATTCATTTGTTGAGAACAACACATTTAGTTGGACTGATTTTCCAAAGGATAATTTTGCTCTGAAGAACAACTGAATTTCAAACTAAAAAAAATCCACTACAAAAGAAGCACAAATACAAGGTTCATGGTGAAAAGAAAAAGATTATAGATTACAGAGACATTTATCCTTTTATGAAATACTCTTCAATGAGATTCCTTTTTGCTCTAACTACAGAAAAAAACACGAATGTTGCCTTCATAGACATTAAGACTGCTTACCTTCCAAGGCAGATCAACGAGATATATGTCATTTCCCTGGGGGAAATGAAGAACTGACATGATAATTTTTTGCACCCATAAGAGGCAATGTACGGCCTTAAACACAGTGCCAGATGTTGGGACCAACAACTTCATACTGTATTGTTTGGATTGGAAAGTGAATTTTTGATGGCAAATTTGTGTGAAGTCATAGCCTCCCAGGCACAAGTATTACACAAGACAAACAGAGGCAGTTGTGGATCAGTCAGACAGCATATATAGGTAGAGAAAATACTAGAGAGGTTTGGCATGTCAGAGGACAATCCTGTTTCCACTCAGTTAGAACCTAGTAACAATAAAGATGATATTTTCAGTGGTAAGTATAGAGAATCAATGTCACACCAACAAGCCATTGGTAGCCTTTAATACATTTCCTAAATTTCTAGACCAGACATTTCTTTTAAATATTTCCTAAATTTCTAGACATTTCTTTCTTTTGCAGTTAATAGTTAAAGTAGATTAAATAACAATTCTCTTAAGTTTCATTGGAAAGCTGTCAGGTATATAGATACCAAAAAGGTACCAGTAGTTTAAGGTTAGAATTTAATAAAAATAAAAATCGTAATCTGAAATGTTCTAGTTATGCTAGCTGGGAAATAGAAATCATGCCAGACACTTAGTCAGTGGTTATAAATTCAAATATATGGGAGGCTTGATCTCCTGGTTGAATACAAAGCAAAGAACAGTTGTATTGGGTATTCCGGCAGAATATATGGCTCTTAGTTATACTATTTGGAAGCTATACCACAGTTTATTGCAACAATATGGGACAATAAATTTAGCCAAAAATAATGTTAAATGTCAAAGGTTGAAACATCAATTTTTGGCACATTATTATTAGAAAATATATGCAGGGCAAGTTAACTGAAATATAAAATATACTAATAGAGTCGTTTTTGCTGAGATGATGGAATTGGTGTGTTATTTTTTTATATCACTTTGAATCCCATCTGATAATGTCCATTAGTATGAAAAATATAATAAGGAGAAGTGGTGGAAATTCATTTAGCCACTGAACCACACCACTATTAGTCTAGTTCTACACCAACTATACGTTTATCACTCCGAATAATAAAGTGTTTTTTCCTAATTTTTGTGTATTACATACCATACCAATGCACTCAAACATAGTTCATACTCGTAAGTTCTATTTACCAATGCATAATTAATGAAACTAAGATACAAAAACTAAACTATTGAACTAGGCATAGGATTTTATGCATCTAATAATTAATTTAAAAGATGAGAAAAATAAAAAAATTAAAAGTATACGTTTTATTGAAGATAAATTTATTAAAACAAACAAAATTCTAACACATTTTTATTAATATATAATTTATATAAACTAACAGATTATTTCTCTGGAGGCCAAGTCCACTGATTTGAAGGAGGTGTTGTAATAAGAGGTTCCCAAGGCTTGGAATAGACAAAATTTCTAATTAATCGTAATTCATTTTCAGCTTGGACTATTAATTCTTCAACTTGACCACAATTTATCTGTTGTTCAATATCAGTGGCAGTCTTCGCCTACGAACACAAAGAATATAATATATTATTCAGAAACAAATATGAGAACCATAAAAGTAAACAAGTTAAAAAGATCACATACATAGTATATATTCTACCAACACTATATTCGACCAGCATTAGGTCAGTTAATAATGGCAAGGGGAGGCAAAAGACATGGGATCATAAAATTCAATGAAACTTTATTTGGGAGCACTAGATCAAAAAATATCAGAAAGGTGCCTAATATAGTGTTGAGGCTTCTACCCAAAGTCCTCACAAAAGTCAAGAAAAAAAAAATTGCTTTATAAAATTTAAACATTTTTTATATAATTATTTTTTGCCATTTCTCTGAATTGGTTTTAAAGTTATTATGAACCAATCTTTTTTGTGAAGAAAAAGAAAAACATATTATGGCCATTAAATGAGTTTGGAAGAATTAAAAATTATAAAAACCAAAGCTGAAAAATGTCTTGAAAAAAAAAGAAAGTCAGATCCGTTTATTAAAAATAGAATATCAGTATGGTTATACACCAAATCCTGTCATAAATATTGTTACAAGGAAATATATATCATTTTCATCGTTCCTATAAGCAAGAAAGGCAGCTCCACTGACTGTTTATATTCCTAGCTATTACAGACCAATAAGCTTACTTTCGGTGGCTTACAAACTACATACCTCAATACTAGAAAGGAGACTAAGGGCCGCAATCGAGAACCAAATAAACCAAATCCAGGGAGGCGGCAGGCTCAAGACCACATCTTCACACTGAGAAGCATCACTGAGAAAGCTTGGGACAGAGATAAGAACATATACATGGCATTCTTAGATCTCAAAGTAGCGTTTGACTCAGTCCCCAGAAACGAAATATGGGATGCTTTGAAAGCAAAAAATGTTCCAGGAGGTCTTATCACAGCTATTACATCGGTTTATCAGGAAGCAAAAGGAGTTGTGAGGATCATTGGAAGAGAGTCCCATAGAAAGAGATGTGAGACAGGGAGACAGCCTCAAGCCCCTCTTATTCATCATATTTAAGGATGAAATCCATAAAATTTGTAAGCGCCATACGGCTTGGACGGTCATCGGTAAATGGAACATGAGGAATGTTATGGTTCAAAACTTATTGCATGGCGATGACATCGTACTGATGGCAGATATGAAAGACAAACTGTAACAAGCCCTTGTGGAATGGCAGGAAGAGCTCCTTCACAAAGGAATGGCAATCAACATCTCTAAGAGCAAGAGAACAAGAATAAATCCAGCTGATATGTAATAGTGAAGTACTTGAGATTGTGCAGGAATTTACCTATTTGGGGACAGTCATAAGCAATACGGGGAAGATTAACCCAGAAGTAGCAAACAGGATTTGCAAAGCCAACCAGATTTATTATCCTATCTGTAACACCATTGTGGGACACAGAGACGTTAGTAATGAAACAAAAAGGCATACATTCAAGTCTGCATACCTACCAACCCTGACTTAAGGAAGTGAAAGTTGGGTTATGCTGGACAAGCAGGCCAGCTGGGTAACGAGTGCTGAGATAAAGTTCTTGCGGAGGGCTGTTGGTAAGACCAGAAGGGACCGTTTCAGGAATGAACAGATAAGGGAGGAGATGGAGATGGTAGAGCTTAAGACAATGAATGAAAATCGACAACTGAAGTGGTTTGGCCAGGTTTGTCGGATGGATGATGAAAGATATGGAAGTGATGGAAGCTCGACCCACTGGGAGGAGACCGCGAGGCCGACCCAGAATTTCCTACCAGGAGTACATGAAGTGGATTGGAGGGAAGAGAGGGAAAACTCTGCCACAGATGAGGCAGCTTGGCCGGGACCGAGTGGTTGAGGCAGCATGGCTACGTTGGATCAAGGCTCCTCTACGCTAGGAAAGGCATCAGAGGTAGACAAAGAAGAAGAAGAAGAAGAAGTAATACATACAGATTTCAACAGAAAAATTGATTTTTTCAAAAACCTTATTAGAAAATCAAATGTATATCTAGAGAGTAAAACATAAAAATAAATTACTCAAAATGTCTCCCTTTTGCCTTGACACAGGCATTTGATCTTCGTGGCCAGTCATCAATAGCAGCACGCAGCACTTCTTGAGGAAAGCGCTCAACTGCTCGGACCAAAGATTGTTTGAGGCTTTCCAAGTTAGGGTGTGCTCTGTGGTATGCCATCCTCTCCAGTTTGGATCAAAGCTGATAGATAATCTGGTGGGTTGAGATCAGGGCTTCGTGAGGGTCAATCCGAGCCAGAGATGAACTCTGGAATGTTTTTTGGCTATACAGAGGTTTTGGGGTCAGGGGGTGAAGGAGAGTATTAATTCCGGAGTTAAAAGCCCTCCTAGGCAACGAGACGCAAAATCATACCTGTTTTATCATCCAAGACATTGGTTATCAGGATGCTGGGCAACACGTGGTGTTGTGCACACACATTAGCCCACTTGGCCACCCTGCCCCACATTTTTTCTTGACCATTCAATGTGATGTTATAATCAGTAACTATATTAGTTCATGATGTATAGTACTGGAAAGCAAACAATATTCTAATTCCTACATATATCTAGAGAGAGGTAATCACAACATTAAAAACTAGTGAGAAAATTAAAAAAATCAAAACCTGTACCACTACAACCCATAAAGGGTCTGGGCTTCAGTACTATTTAGGGAAAGCACTGTTTCTAGGTCCACGGTTGTGCAAGGAGGTGATTTGACCGAGATCACGCTCAACCGCCAGGTTTTCCCCCTTAATCAATTATTTAATTAAGGGTACCCAATTTATAGAGGCTGGGTGTGCCCCAGAAGGGACTCCTGACCCAAGGTCGCCCCACGGCCAATGAAACAGATAAATAAAATTTCTGCCATGAGCCGGGGTTCGAACTCGGGACCTTTGCATTGGAAGCTCAGTGCCCTACCACTGAGCTACCCCGCTAAAAAAAAAATCAAATTGATAAGAAAATAAAAGTTTACTTACACTTTGCACAATATTCATTCTTTTAGTAATAACTTCTTCCGTATGTTTTCTGTAAACAGCTTCTTGAGGTACTTTTTGCAGAGCTCTGAGAATTTTTCCATAAAGAAGAGTCAAAGTTCGACTGGGATCTTTTGAAACGGCAAGCCCAGTTAAACCAGTTGTCTGTAAAAATTCACATTTTAAATGATTTCTAAGTTACAACCTTTGAACTATTTCTGATCTACTCGATTTATTATAATATAAAAAGTATTTTTAAAACACATAAAATTAAATGAAACCACAATTAAAAATTTCAGAAAATAATTATAATAAAATTCTGTCAGCTAGATATAGCTATAGATCTCAAGAAAGGAGTAGAAATAAGGTAAAGGAGGAGAATCCCATTACAGCCTAAATGTGTGTATTCTTAGGAATGGTCAGTATAACATCTTCCCAGTGAAGTAATGAGAGAGCTGGCCTGAAAGCTCAAAAGGAGGCAATCCCTCCATCAGGCTCTGGGCACAGTAAGCCCATAACTTACTTGCCCGAGAAAAAACTTATGAAACTTACAGAGCCGATCAATTTTGAAGGATTATGACATGGTGCAGCAAAAGGATTTTATGTTTCGGAAATTGGAATGTCAAAGACATTAATTTAAAGGAAGTAGAGCTGGTGGAGGAAATAAAAAAAGCAAGGATCACCATACTGAAAATAATAGACACCAAAAAGAAAGATAGAGGAGATGAGCGAATTGGAGACTTTGTGCTAGTATAATCAGGAGGGATCCTCATAGAGAAAGAAAAGATGTAAATTTTACAGTGGGACATTTAGTCCCCTAAGAATAACAAACATGAACAATGAAAATTACATTATAACATAGATTTGTCTGGTATATAATGGCTGGAAAATAATAATTAGGTCACAAAGCTGTTCGACAATAAGATTAAAATAAAGTGCTACTCTAAATATATATATAACATGATAATGTTATACTAAATAGATGACCATGTGTTCACATACTTGCACGGTAAGCAATATACATAATAACTGTGAATTGACAGTAGAATCAGATTGGTAACATATTAAATTCTTATAAATATTCAGAAGATTGATAGCAGAGGTGATGGAGAAACAATTGGATTTTAAACGAAGTCAATGATGAAGTTTTGCATATGGGGGTGAGTAAGGAATTCCAAAATAAGACAGCACGTATCATAAAGGATTTTCCAAAATAAGCTGTCTTGTGAGAAAGAATGTATAGGTTTGTGGGCTGGAATTTCATGTTGAAAGAATGGATCGAGTAACAGGGAGTAAACAAGATAAGAAGGCCTGTTTACAAAGATTTTAAAAATGAATACACCTACGAAATATTGCCGTAAAGAAACTGGATATAGCTACTTTAACTCGTAATGCCAACTGGAGACGTGGGAGTGCCTAGAGACTCCACAGATGGATCTAATGAAACAATTCATAAACCTTTTCAATCTAACCTCAAGTCCACTGTATACGAGGCAGCCATAATCGAAGTTGGGAAAAATAAGAGAGGAAATTAGAAGCTGATGGGTTTTAAGAGGGATAGAAACACGGAATCTCAGAAACTGCTAGAGCATGCTATGATCAGGGTAGCTTGCCTATTCCACAAAAAGGTATCTAGGTATGTTATAGAATGGAAAGTGATAAACAACAGATTATTATCTATCAAGTTCTTAAGGGGTAATAAGCTCTAATAAACATTGTTCATTGCCTATGGATCAAATAACAATGCACCTGAACATCAGAATTAGTAATGATGAAAAAGCATGGCAAGCAGCTTTACGAAGAAATGGTGAGGGGCATGTCAACGATTCAGAACAAATCTTAAACCGATGCCTGAAAAATAGAATGACCCTGCCAAATAGTATGTTTCCCATAAAATAATTCATCAATACACAAGAATGGAACCAGGGCAAAATTAAAAATCAATAAATTTGAGTCTTGAGTGAACAGAAAGAAAATAAATCAGATTTAATGTCTGCTAAAAACTTGAAACCACAACGAAACTCCATGAAATAAAGGATGTATCAACCAGACGTAATATATAATAAGGATATACTAAAACATTTTTTATGAAATGGTGCATGATAGATACTTGAAAATGGTTCAAGAAGCTGAAATGTTGGTAAATAAATAAATATAATAAGAATGTATTTCAGTCGTGACCTTTGGCCTAAAATCTATTAAATAAAAAGGTAATAAAACGGGACCGAACATAAAAAATATAATTGATTTTAGAATCAAAGAGGCACAGAAATAGGTATTGACCACAGACTTCTGAAGATGGACATCAATCTGAGCAAAGAGCCACTAAAGAATGAAAACATGAAGCATCAGAAGGTACTAAAGATAAATGCCTACAAGTTAAAAAACGAAGAAACGGCAACTGTTTACCAGGATTCAATAGAAACTAAGGTCCTCAGTGGAGTCTATCCTTGGGACTCTAACAACGTCGAGACAGCCTGATCAGCTTTCATTCAGAAACTTCCGATGGATTAAGCAAAAATAGTATATGGTAAAATAAGTACAGGACAGAGACTAAAGATAACCGCATGGTGGAATGATGAGGACAAAGAAGTCAACCAGAAGAAGATATATTGGAAGCAATACCTAAAAAACCCCTACTGATTACAAAAAATATGTAGCCAAAAGGCGAATAGTGTTCATGGTCATGGAAGCTAAAAGGAAAGCATGGGAAGAATTTGGAAGAAAACTGGAAGACAACTTCTGAGACATCTAAATACTATTTTACAGAGCACTTCAAAACATACTCAAAGACAGAGAACCAGTACTCAAGCGAATCAAAGAAAAAGAAGGGAACATACTCACAAGCAACGAAGAAATCATGCATAGATGGGCTGAATACTTCAAGGAACTCCTGAATGTGAACATTCCAATACGATTGAGGAGGAAGAAAATTATATCAGCAGAGAAGAAATTGTGGGTGCTGTCGCCTCCTTGAAAATAGGGAGAGAAGCAGGAGTAGATGGCATAGCCCCTGAAATGATCAAGTACATGAACCAAAACAGTTTTAATAGGGTGGCTATTAGATCGTTAAAGTAAAATTTCCTGACATTTCCTTATTTAATGATAGTTTTCCCTAACCAATATGTCTGGAAACACAAATATTAAAAATATATAATTTTTAAATAAATTTATTTATTATAAATGAAAGACATTTATAATAAATAACGACAAAATCAGTTGTTCTGAATATTCTGCTATCAGTGATAAAGCAGATTTTACTCAAAAAGACTAAAAAATATTTATAATCAATTTGGGATCTATTTGATGAATTTCAAGCCAATATTTTATGAGGATGGATAAAAAGATTCTGCTCTAGACACAAAACTGTTTAAAAAAAAAAACAGGTGTGAAACTGCCAGCGTTCTCTTTAAGTTAACCAAAAAATGGAATTCAAAGGTTTAGTCAACAGTTCATGAATTATCATGACGCTGACATGAACACAATTTTTAAAAAGTTAATGCTCGATCAGATTCTACATTTTAAGATTGAAAAATGTTCTAATGGACCTTCATCTATAGACAGTACTGCTGTTAAGAAGTTCATTACTTTATTAAAAATAAATAAATATGTCAATAGATGTATATATTACAAATATTAAATGATATTGGTATGTTTTTCTTTTCAAAAAGTCCATTTTGCTTAAATTTTACTCATTATTCTTGTTTGATTTCAATATAACGACTAGTGCCATTATTGACAGTCATAGATGGATGAATATAGCGACTGTGGTCGTTTATAATGTCAAAGTTTATCCCTTCAAGGTCATTATAAATGATATCCATTTTATATTTATTTCCAATTTGAAAAACATATTTACATACTAAAAAAATTCCTTGACTATTCCCCGGAATAGTCCCGGTATGGTCAGTCACCAATACATTCCAGCACCTACTAAATCTTGTACGGAAAACTAAGAACATTCCAAAGGATTGGAAAGTTTCGCTTACAGTCTCAATATTTAAGAAAGAGGATAACAGAGATTGTAAAAACCATTGGAATATATCTCTTCTTAGTGTCCAAAGCAAAATATACTCAAAGATATTAGAGAGAAGATTGCGAAGAACAGTAAAATCCTCTCTGAGTGAAGAACAATATGGATTCAGGATAGGCAGAAGTACCCAGCATCTCATATTTACTGGGGCGCTAACAATAGGTATCAAAATCA